AAATACTTATTTTCCACCATAATTTGCAAATAAATTCATTAAAAATCCTACAATGTGATTTTCTGGAATTTTTTTCTCATTTTGTCTGTCATAGTTGACGTGTACCTATGATGAAAATTACAGGCCTCTCATCTTTTTAAGTGGGAGAACTTGCACAATTGGTGGCTGACTAAATACTTTTTTTCCCCACTGTATCCTGCTGCATGTTAAACTGGACATGACTAGCCAGTTATTACACAAGACATAACTTTCTTTACAATATTTGGATACTTAAATATCATAGTTTGTATCATAATTGACTAAACTACCATCGGTCTGTCGAGCACACATGGTCTAAGTGCAGCACTGCTGTAGAGTATTGAGACTGACAGTGTTAAGCCTCATCTGTTTCTGATGTACTGAGATGCCGGGTTCAGTGTGTCCCCCACTCCCCAATACCACAGCCGGCCTGGCAGGCACACTGTAGGCCCCACACTCCCCAGGGAGGACCAGGGATGAGGGAGCCTAACATCAGCACTGACAGCCCTCTGTGAGAGTATTTATGCTTTGAATGTGGGTGCGTGTGAGGGAGTGAGAATGCATTTGAATATGAGTGTGTGAGGAGGGGAGGAACAAAGAGAGTGGGTGTGTGTCTGTCGTGTGTCACAAATAAAACACTGGAAATCATGAGCATTACAGAAAGAGAAAATATATAAATATGCTAAACATTGTGTTAATCACTCTAAACTGAATATGAACTTCAGTGATCTTCCATTTCCCCATTACAGTGTGAGAAAGTTGTGACGGATTGCAGAGGGAGAGTATGATGCGCTACGGAGATAATGTGCATGAGTGAGAGTCAACATCTTTCCTCAACAGTGGAGATTCTTGTGGTTGCTCACATACCTTCTGGATGAACTGTGGTCACGACCTGATGAACAGACAGAGGACAGATACACTGATGAAAGAATGACCAACACAACAGCGTGCCAGAAAGTTAAATAACAACAACACTCAGAACTAGTACTGAGCCACACACAGTGACAAAAAAATATATTGTTTGCTAATTTTCTTACTTTTTAACTCCGCATTGTTGGGAAAGGGCTTGTAAGTAAGCATTTCACGGTAAAGTCCACACCCGTTGTATTTGGCGCATGTGACAAATAAAAATGGATTCGACAACAAATACTGAGCCACTGTCACAGGCTTATGGGCTGAATCCCAATTCTACACCTATTTCGAAAAGTGTGCAATTGAACACTTCCCGTCATGGATTTAACAATGATATAACAGTAAGGGGTGACTCACTGAACTCACCATATTTAGATGGGGAGGGCGAGTGGCTTTGTCGTCCGTACTGTCTCTCCCACTCGTCCCTCTCTTTCTCCCGACGCTCACGCTCCCTGGAACACACCCCACCGTTTAACCACAGTCATACAGAACCACAATGCAGCATCACACATGCGCGCACACTCACTGTTACACGACACACACACAGTCTTACTTCATGCGGATCTTGCGTGCCATGGCTCTGAGCTCGCCCTCGCGCTCCTGTAAAGTAAACACACAGCTATGAGGACCAATGGCAGACGACGACACATAAAGGACTGTCTTAGGGGGGACACCGTCTGTTTCTAGAGGAAACTTCACACGTTATGCTAAAATGGGGGGCTGGCTAACAGTTCACAAACACGATTCCACGCACCGCTCGCTTATTTTCCTGCTGAGTGACTTTCGCCTGGGCTGCTTTCTTATCCGCCTTGGCTGAGGGAGGAAAAGAAGGGCAGAGGAAGGATGAATATGTATATACAAACACAGCAAAAATGAGTTGTAACAGACTGACCAAACAGAGCCTGTCCAGTCAGTCTACTCACACTGCCTGTTGAGGGCCTTCTGCATGCGTATCTTCAGCATCTCCTGCGGGGTCATCTTGGGCTGTAAGAGATACGCACGCATCAGCACACACACTCGCAGGGCAGGATCGCAGGTTGTGTGTGTGGAACTATGGGGACAGGGGCGCCTATAGCACCACCATTGCCTCATATAGCAGCTGTTAAGGCCACAGTTAGTCAGATGGGGGTATACAGTCGTAAATCATGTGAGCTGTTTGTCATGTCCTGTCCTGTTCTCTGCTGGACTGGTAGAGCCGGCTACGTGCGGCGAGGGGAGGCGAACCCCATGCCCCCTGCCTGCAAGTGTTGTACACAGTAGCAGGACAGGATCACATTACATGGAACTGGACTTTAAGTATTAATGTCTTATGTATTTCCATGTACATACATGCAAATGTTGCGAGGACAGCTAAGGGTAAGAGAGTTGAACAGGGAAAGAAAACAGTCTGGCAAATGTTGGTCACAAGTAGCACCAGCGGCCCTCCCCTCCCCTCCCCTCCCCTCCTCTGTACATTCCTGCTGACACTCCCTGGCCAGGTAGGAATTCAGCTCATGGATAGACAAGCACACACTACAGGCCAAAATGGCAACCTACAGAGTTAAATTACCCTCCCTCTAGAGCTCTCTTTCTATTCAGCAACTCTGATACATCCCTTTCCCTGTGAATCCCCTGTACTGGAGCGGTTGCTATGAAAGTCTAGTGGCGTGTCTCTAAGGGGAAAGCAGCAGGTAACAGTGTGTGCTGTTAGTCCTGGGTGGAGAGGTGTGGTGGTGTATTTCTCCTGCCTGCTCAGACAAGCCCAGGCCCCCTCACTGCTCTGCTGTCCACAACAACTGCATGCACCTGAGAGCTCCGACCTCACTACATAGCAGGGGTGTACTTAACAGCCTAAAATGGCCTCCTCTCCTGAGTCTCCTTCACTTTAGCTGATCTGAAACATAGGTAATGTAAAATAATAGAGTATGCCTACCAGTACTTTGCCTTCACCTTTCTAGTTCTTTACCGAAGAAGCCACTTAAGACTATTGGAACGCACCCAGACTCTAGACTACTCTCTCCCGCTATCCCCTTATATGGCTTCCTTTACTACTACTTTGCTTTCACTTACCCAGTCCTTTCAGATCAGCGGTGAGGGAAGAGAGGAGACAAGGAAAGGAGACAAGGAAAGGAAGCCATTTAAGAGCCTCTGACAATGACATATCAGTGGTTTCCCCTCAGTCTTAGACAACCCATTTTAAACTAGTGCCCTATCTGTAGAGTGAAACGTCTCAGCATTGAGATTGAGGGACACACACACACACTCTCTGGTCTGACCGCACCACTCTGCATAGCTCGGTATACTGCAACATCCAACAGACAGATACATAAGTGACAGAAAGGGTGCTGGGAACACCAGTCCATTCAGGGATAAGGAGGGGAAAGAAGGGTCAGAAAGAAAAGAAAAAGAAAAATCACAACACTCTGCAATGTAGGTTCTGCCCTTTGGAGGCAGGCTAACCTTGTAACCACACTCTAAACTGAGTAGAGAAGGGTTTAACTCTACACTGCATTCAGGGGGGAGGTAAGGCCACCAGTTAAAAGGGTAGCGCCACAGAGAGGGGCAGTCAAAATACATTTCATATGATTTCCATTCTATGTGCACAGTGGCCTTTGGGGGGCGGGATCCCCGGCCTGATGGACAACCAGGTCAGCCTGTCAGGGGTGAGGGAGGCGTAGACTTTAGCAACAAACCCAGCTAGATCAAATTCTTACTGACTTTGGCAGCTCCCGTCTCTCTACCACCCGGAGTATCAGGCCTGGAGGGAGAGAAAGAGAGAGGGGGAGAGAGAAAGAGAGAGGGGGAGAGAGAAAGAGGGAGAAAAGTAGGGTTGAAAATGTCACCATTTCTCATCAGAGAGCTCCTCCTGTGGGACAGACTAGGGCAAATATTAGCTACCTATTGCTGCGGTTTGTTTTAAACTGCATGTGAGGGTGGAGGCTCTGTGTGCATATACATATTTGTGAGTCTGTGTTAATATGTGTGTGTGCTTTAGAGGTCTTCACGGATCTACCTGTACCCGATTACCAGACCCAATCCGGGACCGGATCCAGAATTCTAAATACCACAGGTCTGGGTCGGATCTGATCGTCACGGTCTCAGGTACGTGTAATTTTAACTGGCTTGTCTGGAAGGACCCGTACAGATCTGAACGCGACTACTGCAGTACAGAGAGAGAAATTGTATCATTTATGCTGCTGCTCTTGCTTTTCAAGAGAGTGGCACGTGTAAGCTTGTTGTTGGCCAATCATAAGTCATCAAAGCAGCAATAGGCTATATTCATAGAGCCTCTGTGTGTGGCAAAAGTGAGATATCTAATCAATGGAAGATGGAATTAAAATGTTAAAAGGAGAAGGTTAGGCTACAACGACCAAGAGCGAACAGGTAGGCTGCTACTAATCTGAATGGAGTTATTTGTAACTGTGTAGGACCCTCAATTAGCCTAGAAAGCTAGCTAGCCTAACTAGCTTCTCCCGGTTTGATGCAGTCAAGACAGGTACAACGTAAAGTAAGCATTTCACTGTTAGTCTACACCTGTTGGTTTACAAAGCATGTGACAAATAACATTTGATTTGTAATCATATTGAATGATGAATAACCTAGCTATGGCAGCTATCTACTATAACGCGAGTTGGCTTGGTTGGTTGCAGTCCCTCCCTGCCTCCCTCCTTCGGCTTGGTTGGTTGCTGTCTCATCTCACTCCCTCCCTAGTCCCTGTGTCACTCGCTCACACACTCAAGAGTACACACACAGCACGGGCCCCTGCTAGAGCGGCACCCCTCTCTCCCGCTTGCTTTATCAGCTCCGGTTAATAAAGTAGCTTAAAAATGGACTTTTCTGCTGCTTCCCTAACTTGGATCGGACCGGGTCTGGATCCAACCAGGTCTATATGGAACGGGTCTAGTTGTTCTTGGGTCCGTTCAGAATGGGTCTTTATATTATAAAGTGATATTTATGCATATCGGGTCCGGGTGGAAAAGCCCCAGGTCTATTTCGTAACGGGTCCAACTTTTTCAACCCGTAAAAGACATCTAGTGTGTTTACGCGTGCGTGTCTGTGAGCATGCAGGTGTCAGTGGACTCACTTTCTCAGCTTGTCACAGAGAGCAGTGGCAGAGGGCGGGCCTCCTCTGTGTGAGGGGGAGGGGGTGCAGCTGGGCTGGGGGGACTGGGAGGGGCTAGGGCTGCTTCTGACCCCCCTCTGATGGCCTCCTGAAGTCCGCCCCCCACCCCCCTGCCTGGCACGGTCCCCCTGCCGAGAGTTAGAGCTGGAAGGAGAGCAGAGGGAAGTGATCAGCACAACATCCAAAAGCCCACCATTTCATTTTAGTGATAAGATAATGTATTATTATTATATATATTTTTTTTTTTTCATGATTTACTGAGGTTAGAAAAGTCCTATGGTTGTCTGGGCTGCCTTACCGTGTGCGTCTGCGTGCTGTGAAGCGACGTCCCACATCCCTGTCTCTGTCCCGTTCTCGCTCCCTCTCCCGGTCTCCGTCTCGGTCATTGGAGCGGGACTGTGTCCGGTCGTATCTCCTCCGTGACCCCCCTCTTCCTCCTCCGTTGGCTCCTCTACCCCGGGACCGTGAGTCGGAGCGCCGCCTCGACCGGGAGCGGGAATATCGTCCGTCCCTCCCTCCTCCGCGGCGTCTGTCACGGCGTGAGTGAGAGGAAGAACGAGAGGAGGAGCGATGAGTTGAAGAGCGGGAGGAAGAGGAGGAAGGGCTGGAGGAAGAGCGGCGTCTGTTGAACAGAGAGAGACACACAGACGTATTAGCAACGACCCACGGGCTGCTCTAATCCTACTGTCTGATTTGACTCAGTTTATATATTTCTGGTCTTGATCTACTTCATTTCTCAATGGGCTGCTAGTGCTGCTACTGTACGGTCTTTTGTAGGACTTAAGCATTTCTGCTACTTTGTGAACCGTACTGAACACAGACACATGGCGTACATGCCATATGTTTTCCCTTACCTTATGGTGCCTTTAAAAGTTGTCTAGGGCAGCTTTTAATGTGAATATGTATGCAATCTCATTGATTTACCATAACACAGAAAATGCACAAACTAACACGCATCTCTAAAATGTCACACTACTAGGATTGTAAACTTAAGATGAGCTCCACTTCACCTACCAAATCTCTATAGCCCAAATCTCTACAGCTGTAGTCAATGGACAGCAACATGACTGACAGGAGTAAACAACCAATGGAAAGCGGAAGGGGAAAGCTACCGACCGGGAGCCCCTGCTATGACCTGCGGGGTGGTGCAGCGAGTTGGCGGGGGTGTGGCCAGAGTGGACAGGGGGTGGAGCTTGGGTTGCCACAGCAGCCTCCTCGTCACTGCCTCCGAAGCTGGTGATGAAGGTGATCTTCTCTGGGCCCGGGGAACGGGACCGCGACTCCGAACTGGACTCTGACTTGGGCCTGAGGGAGAGAAGGAAGGAGGTCAAATCAAATAGGGGTGCTTATATATGTCCTGTTTCACACATGTACAAGCGTGTAACCTGTACAAGTGTGTGGTGTGAAATGGAAATGTGTTTTTTTACATATCCCACTCCCCCTGAGACACCCTCAGAGAGTGGGGTCAAGGCCAGGGATCAGCCATTATTGACGGCGACCCTACAGCAATTAGGGGTAAAGGAAAATTCCATTCAAAAACTATATTTTGGTATGTGTTTCATTAGTCCATGGGTTGATACAGTCCCAAAATGTTTTGCATGCCAGCAATCAAGCACTTTCAAAATACAGAAAGTGTCACAGTATGATGCATTTCGCATCATGTGCCTTGTGCAAGGGTACATTTCTACCTAGTCGGCTCGGGGATTCGAACTAGCTCTAACCACTAAGCTACCTACCGCGTTGCCGGAGGGGAGATTTATCAGTGTTGTCTCTACTGGTTAAAGGGTTACCTCAAGCAGTTCATCATGAGTTGTTAGGACTGATCAGAAGCATGACTATGCCATTACTATCCTTGTCAAAATATACTATTAGATGGACTTTTAAAGTGAAAAACTTTGACAGAAAGTGAAATGGTTGGTCTCCCACTCACCGTTTGTAGGGATCGTAGGTTGGGCTGTCTCTCCTGGCATAGCTGGAGATCAGAAACAGAGAAAGGGTTTAAAGAGGTGTGCCAGTATGTCTCATACCATGTGTGTGCTACACATTGGTAGTGGATGAGGTGAGTTACCCCATATGGTATTAAATCAGGGATGTGATCAATTCCATTTTATTCCAGTAAATTCTGAAAGCAAACCAAATTCAAAAGGATCCAAATTGAAAAGCATTGAACAGAATTGGAATTTCTGTGTACTTCCTGAAATGACTGGAATTGAAATGGAATTGACCCCAAACCTGGTATAAACTGCTGTTTACCTGGGTGGGCTGATCTGTCTGCCCTTCAGTCTCTTCTCTCTGAACTCCCTCCTCTGTCTGCGAGAGCGACGGCCCTGAGGGTCACACACACACAGTCAGTGACATCAGGGGCAAGCATAGGCCAACCAACAATCATTGACATGACAGCAACACACCGGGGACAAACACACCAATTCTTTCTTACCGAGTACATGGCCTTTTCTGCCTCCAGAGCCTTGGCGTGTTTAATGGCCTCCACCTCATCCTTGTCTTTCCTCAGCATCCTGTCAAACAGTCAGCCAGTTAACACAGTGTGTATAACAACAGACATTTTACTGTTTTACCTTTGTTAAAAATACACTATGAAAGCAACTAGTAATTTACTAGAAAAATAAAATGCAAAAAAACAAGATGCAACATGAAGCAATATAAGACCAAGAGCAAAATGTTCATTTTTTTATGACAACAGGCATTTCCATTACTCCAGCGATAATGTAATGTCAACACATAACATGTTAGCGAAACGCATAGCCTATAATGGGAGCAGGCAGACTGACCTGACAAAATCTCCCTCTGCCATTCCATATGGGGTGGCCATCTTGTTCAGATCCAACTCCTGCTCCGTATTGAGCTCGTCAACGTCCACCTCCACATCTGAAACACACACACGACAAAATGATATCAGAAAATAACACATACTCACATTCCACATACATAACCATTTACTGGGCTTGCTCAACATTGCAGTCAACATGATGCATTATGGGTAAATTGTGACTGATCTACAAATAATCAATTATTTTATTTTTGATGCAAAGTAAATTTGTAGATCAGTCAGTCAGCAGTAGGCTGCAATGTTGAACAAGCCCCATGTCCATTCAACCCAACCACTCATACTTGTGTGGGTGAGAAGGTATGGGGACTCACCAATGTCTGGGATGCCCTCGTCCTCCTCTGATTCACTGTTCTCAGAGTCATCCTCCTCCCCTTTCTCTTCTTCCTCCCCAGGCTCCGTAACAGTGCTGTCCTCGTACGTGTAGCCAATGGTGGCCTTCTCCTTAGCAAGCCTAAACAAAAGGGAGGGGCTTATTCATAATCAATACATTTGTGGATAATGATATAAGCCAGGGGTGTCAAACATCCGGCCCGCGGGCCGGATCAGGCCCGCAAACGGGTTTAATCCGGCCCGCGAGATGATTTTGGAAAAAAATAAAAATAATAATAATAATAATAATAATAATAATTTGGTAAAGTATAAAAATGCGCTGCAATTTTTCAATAAAATAAACTGCTGTTCCAATTGCGTCCACTGGATGCCGCAATAGCAATTGTGTTAAGCAAGCAAACTGTTTATACCGGGGCAGAGCAAGTAGGTCAAGCACGTGCAGCCAATGAGCTACTTTGTTTTGCCCGCGATATTTATTACGGCTTCTACTTTTAACATTATGTGCTTTGGCCCCCTCATTGCCCCAATATGTCTCTGTCAAAAAAGAGAAAAGTGGACGCAGAGTGCAGAGTGTTCCAAGAAAAATGGTCATCCTATTTATGCTGAAAGAATATAACCTTCGTCGCCACTATGTGAGTCTTCATGCCGACAAATATGACAACTTTCAAGGACAGCGGAGATGAGAGAAGGTGAATGAACTTTTGGCGGGTCTGAAGAAACAGCAGTCTGTGTTTACTCACAGCCGAGACATCAGTGACGCTGCAGTGAAAGCTAGCTACCTCATTGCTAATGAAATCGCAGTAGCTTCAAAACCATTTAGTGAGGGTGAATTTGTAAAAACATGCATGATGAAGGCAGCGGAGATTGTGTGCCCTGAAAAGCGGCAGGCTTTTGCAAATATCAGCCTGACAAGAAACACAGTTGCAGACAGGATTTCCGATCTTTCAGTGGATTTGGACAGCCAGTTGAAGCAAAAAGTAAAGTCATTTATTGCGTTTTCGGTTGCAATTGATGAAAGCACGGACATTACAGATGATGCACAACTGGCCATTTTCATCCGCGGAGTTGATGACACATTGACCGTCACCGAGGAGTTCGTGGAGTTGGTGCCGATGACAGATACAACGACAGCAGCTGATATTTTTACCGCACTCGTCGGCGCGCTGGACTGGGTCGGAGTGGACTGGTCCCGCGCTGTCAGCCTGGCTACAGATGGTGCGCCCTCAATGATCGGGAAAAAAGCAGGCGCTGTGACAAAGTTCAATCTCCAAATGGAGGACGTGATTTTTTTACTTTTCACTGTATTTTGCACCAGGAGGCTTTGTGTTGCAAGTCATTAAAGATGGATAATGTCATGAAGGTGGTCATCCAAACTGTTAATTTCATCCGATCCAGAAGCCTGAATCACCGTCAGTTTGACAGCCTTCTCAGAGAGAAAGAACACATCTATGGCCTGCCATACCACACTGAGGTAAGATGGTTAAGCTGAGGTGCTGTGCTGAGGCGTTTCTTTGATTTACGAGAAGAAATTGAACAGTTCATGGAAGAAAAGGGCAAACCAGTGTTAGAATTTCATTCCGCAGAATGGATGCAGGACCTTGCATTTATGGTGGATGTTACAGAGCACCTGAATAACTTGAACAAACAGCTGCAAGGGCGCAACAAAGTTGTCACGCAGTATTATGACAGCATACGTTCTTTCAAGTTGAAGCTGTCATTGTGGGAGACGCAACTTGCCGGTGGTGATGCAGCTCACTTCCCCTGTCTGAAAAATGTGTGCGCGACCCAACATGTGGCAGACATGAAGCGGTTCAAAGATAAAATAACGGGACTGTTAGGGGAGTTTGAGCAACGCTTTCAGATTTATGTTTATATGTTTTTATGTTGATGTGCTATTGTTTTTAATTGATTTTATTTTATTTGTATATTTAACCTATTCTTGACTCTGTGGTTCTTGCACATGTTTGGGGAACAGGATTTCATTATTTTTATCTACATTTCTGCCTGAGAAATGACACCCTGATATAGTTCTGTGATCTGTGATATACTTCTGTGAATCACTGAGGCATTGTGTGTTTTTTGTCCTCAGAACTTTCAAATAAATTGGTGTTTTATGATTAATAGTGATGTTGTGCTTTTGGACACTGTCCTCAGGCTCCAGCTTTATGTTTATATGTTTTTATGTTGATGTGCTATTGTTTTTAATTGTTTTTTATTTTATTTGTATATTTAACCTATTCTTGACTCTGTGGTTCTTGCACTTGTTTGGGGAACAGGATTTCATTATTTTTATCTACATTTCTGCCTGAGAAATGACACCCTGATATAGTTCTGTGATATACTTATGTGAATCACTGAGGCATTGTGTGTTTGTGTGTTCTTTGTCCTCAGAACTTTCAAATAACTTGAGGTGTTTTATGATTAATAGTGATGTTGTGCTTTTGGACACTGTCCTCAGGCTCCAGCTTTATGTTTATATGTTTTTATGTTGATGTGCTATTGTTTTTAATTGATTTATTTTATTTGTATATTTAACCTATTCTTGACTCTGTGGTTCTTGCACATGTTTGGGGAACAGGATTTCATTATTTTTATCTACATTTCTGCCTGAGAAATGACACCCTGATATAGTTCTGTGATCTGTGATATACTTCTGTGAATCACTGAGGCATTGTGTGTTTTTTGTCCTCAGAACTTTCAAATAACTTGAGGTGTTTTATGATTAATAGTGATGTTGTGCTTTTGGACACTGTCCTCAGGCTCCAGCTTTATGTTTATATGTTTTTATGTTGATGTGCTATTGTTTTTAATAGATTTTATTTTATTTGTATATTTAACCTATTCTTGACTCTGTGGTTCTTGCACTTGTTTGGGGAACAGGATTTCATTATTTTTATCTACATTTCTGCCTGAGAAATGACACCCTGATATAGTTCTGTGATCTGTGAAACAGTTCTGTTAATCACTGAGGCATTGTGTGTTTGTGTGTTCTTTTTCTTTAGAATTTTCAAATAAACTTGACGTGTTTTATGATTAATAGTGATGTTGTGCTTGTACTATTTTGGACACACTGTCCTCAGGCTCCAGCTTTATGTTGTATGTTGATCGTATTAAAACAAAGAAAACAATCTGAAGTTGTTGTTTTTAAGTTATATATACCATGATTTTTCCGGTCCGGCCCACTTGGGAATAGATTTTCCTCCATGTGGCCCCTGAGCTAAAATGAGTTTGACACCCCTGATATAAGCCATACATTGAGAATGTGGCGATTGTGAAAAGACGGGATAGGACTTACTTTTTCTTCTCATCCTCATTTGGCCTCTGCAGGCCACCATAGAGCTCGTCCATTTGGATCTGGTACAAACACTGCTCCTCGGAGACTGCAGAGAGACAGCAGGAGGTTAGAGAACACAGAGCACTGAGAAACACAATATACCCACTGGGAGGGAGGCACAAGAGACATGGCATTACCAACACCGGTGGATACTCACTGCTGGCAAAGTCGTTCTGCACTAGGCCTCTGTAACGCTCATAGTTGCACTTCCTCTCCTCCGACTCCTGTTCTGGGGTGCTGCAACCGAAATGGAACACTTCAATGTCTTTTGCCGAAAAACGGTGCTGGTCCCACATAACACATTTAACCTTTCATATCACATTTCATCAAACAACCACAACAAAATCAACCTATGTGTGTATGATTATAATAATCCATTTCAGGGATGTCACCTTACTAGAGTGGCGTAATAAGGAGAGACCTCAGTCACACTTACGCTGTGTTGAGGAGTGGAGGGGTGTAGGTGAGTATGAAGTCCAGGTGTGCCCTCACGTCAAACCTGTCAATCATGTTGTTGGCATCTCCCTGCCAGGGCATCCTGCAACACAGAACATCCTGATTAGTATTCTCAGGTGGTGTGAGTGTGTGATGGGGTGCAGAAAGAGTGTTTTTGTTACAGTATTATATCATGTGTTTGTGCATGTAAGAGTAAGACACGGTGGCACGTATGTACATGCATGTCTCGTGTGTGTTGTATTCATGTTGTGTGTTTCTCTCCTCACATGTTGATGGGGCTTTCTGCAGCGAGCGCTACGGCTGAGTCCAGATGGATCTTATAGGCCCGGCCATGAACCTGAAGGAACTGAGCCGGGTCCTTTTTCTGTAGGAAAGGGTGAAAGGGAAGACAGGGGAGGAAACCAGAGCAGGTGAATCCTCATTCAGTAAATCACCAACTCTGGTCCTGGAGAGCTACAGGGTGTGAAGGGTTTAGTTCCAGCCCAGCACTAAAACACCAGATTATATGAAGTTGTGCAATTCTGGATGATTAGTGTAATGGGCTACGCACAACAAAAGCAAAACACTGCGCTGGGTGACTTACGATCTTCTCGTAGTACTCTCGCCGGCGCTCGCCACGGCGTTTGTAGTCCACCATCATGCCGCGCAGCTTGCGCTCATGTTTGCGGGCCTCCTGCCACATGACGGCTCCGCTGGGGGTGGGGGCGCGGCGGGGCACGGTGGCTGTGAGGAGACAGGACAACAGAATCAATACCATATTACACTAAACAAAAATATAAAAACGCAACAAAAGACTTTACTGAGTTACAGTTCATATAAGGAAATCAGTCAATTGAAATAAATTCATTAGGCCCTAATCTATGGATTTCACATGACTGGGAATACAGAAATGCATCTGTTGGTCACAGATACCTTAAAAAAAGGTAGTGGTGTGGATCAGAAAACCAGTCAGTATCTGGTGTGACCACCATTTGCCTCATGCAGTGCGACATCTCCTTTGCATACAGTGAGGGAAAAAAGTATTTGATCCCCTGCTGATTTTGTACGTTTGCCAACTGACAAAGACATGATCAGTCTATAATTTTCATGGTAGGTTTATTTGAACAGTGAGAGACAGAATAACAACAAAAAAATCCAGAAAAACGCATGTCCAAAATGTTATAAATTGATTTGCATTTTAATGAGGGAAATAAGTATTTGACCCCTCTGCAAAACATGACTTAGTACTTGGTGGCAAAACCCTTGTTGGCAATCACAGAGGTCAGACGTTTCTTGTAGTTGGCCACCAGGTTTGCACACATCTCAGGAGGGATTGTGTTCCACTCCTCTTTGCAGATCTTCTCCAATTCATTAAGGTTTCGAGGCTGACGTTTGGCAACTTGAACCTTCAGCTCCCTCCACAGATTTTCTATGGGATTAAGGTCTGGAGACTGGCTAGGCCACTCCAGGACCTTAATGTGCTTCTTCTTGAGCCACTCCTTTGTTGCCTTGGCCGTGTGTTTTGGGTCATTGTCATGCTGGAATACTCATCATCCATGACCCATTTTCAATGCACTGGCTGAGGAAAAGAGGTTCTCACCCAAGATTTGACGGTACATGGCCCCGTCCATCGTCCCTTTGATGCGGTGAAGTTGTCCTGTCCCTTTAGCAGAAAAACACCCCCAAAGCATCATGTTTCCACCTCCATGTTTGACGGTGGGGATGGTGTTCTTGGGGTCATAGGCAGCATTCCTCCTCCTCCAAACACGGCGAGTTGAGTTGATGCCAAAGAGCTCCATTTTGGTCTCATCTGACCACAACACTTTCACCCAGTTCTCTGAATCATTCAGATGTTCATTGGCAAACTTCAGATGGGCCTGTATATGTGCTTTCTTGAGCAGGGGGACCTTGCGGGCGCTGCAGGATTTCAGTCCTTCACGGCGTAGTGTGTTACCAATTGTTTTCTTGGTGACTATGGTCCCAGCTACCTTGAGATCATTGACAAGATCCTCCTGTGTAGTTCTGGGCTGATTCCTCACCGTTCTCATGATCATTGCAACTCCACGAGGTGAGATCTTGCATGGAGCCCCAGGCCATGGGAGATTGACAGTTCTTTTGTGTTTCTTCCATTTGCGAATAATCACACCAACTGTTGTCACCTTCTCACCAAGCTGCTTGGCGATGGTCTTGTAGCCCATTCCAGCCTTGTGTAAGTCTACAATCTTGTCCCTGACATCCTTGGAGAGCTCTTTGGTCTTGGCCATGGTGGAGAGTTTGGAATCTGATTGATTGATTGCTTCTGTGGGCAGGTGTCTTTTATACAGGTAACAAGCTGAGATTAGGAGCACTCTCTTTAAGAGTGTGCTCCTAATCTCAGGTCATTACCTGTATAAAATACACCTGGGAGCCAGAAATCTTTCTTATTGAGAGGGGGTCAAATACTTATTTCCCTCATTAAAATGCAAATCAATTAATAACATTTTTGACAATAGTTTTTCTGGATTTTTTTGTTGTTATTCTGTCTCTCATTGTTCAAATAAACCTACCATTAAAATTATAGACTGATCATTTCTTTGTCAGTGGGCAAACGTACAAAATCAGCATGGGATCAAATACTTTTTTCCCTCACTGTAGTTGATCAGGCTGTTCATTGTGGCCTGTGGAATGTTTTCCCACGGGAACTGGAACACGCTGCAGTACTGTCAATCCAGAGCATCCCAACCATGCTCAATGGGTGACATGTCTGGTGAGTATGCAGGCCATGGAAGAACTGGGACATTTTCAGCTTCAAGAAATTGTGTACAGATGCCCATACCATAACCCCACCGCCACCATGGGGGCACTCTGTTCACAACATTGACATCAGCAAACCGCTCGCCCACACAACGCTATACGCGCTGTTTGCCTGGTAGAGTTGAAACCATCATTCATCCGTAAAGAACACTTCTCCAGCGTGCCAGTGGCCATCGAAGGTGAGCATTTGCCCACTGAAGTCGGTTACGACGCCGAACTGCAGTCAGTTCAAGACCCTGGTGAGGATGACGAGCACGCAGATGAGCTTTCCTGAGACGGTTTGTGCAGAAATTCTTCGGTTGTGCAAACCCACAGTTTCAACAGCTGTCCGGGTGGCTGGTCTCAGATGATCCCGCAGGTGAAGAAGCCGGATGTGAAGGTCCTGTGCTGGCGTGGTTACACGTGGTATGTGGTTGTGAGGCCGGTTGGACGTACTGCCAAATTCTCTAAAACGACATTGGAGGCAGCTTATGATAGAGAAATTAACATTACATTCTTGGGCAAAAGCTCTGGTGGGCATTCCTGCAGTCAGCCTGCCAATTGCACGCTCCCTTAAAACGTGAGACATCTGTGGCAATGTTGACAAAAATGCACATTTTAGAGTGGCCTTTTATTGTCCCCGGTACAAGGTGCACCTGTGTAATGATCATGCTGTTTAATCAGCTTCTTGATATGCCACACCTGTCAGGTGGATGGATTAACTTGGCAGAAGAGAAATGCTCACTAACACGGATGTAAACAAATTAGTGCACAACATTTGGGAGAAATAAGCTTTTTGTGCATATAGAAAATTCCTGGGATCTTTAATTTCAGCTCATGAAACACGGGACCAACACTTTACATGTTGCGTTTATGTATTTTTGTTCAGTGGAAATTAGACCGTTCACCCCAACTAGAGTCCGATATATCCAAAGTGGTCCTTAGTAGAGAGCCGTAACTCAATTTTCTCATTTGATGGGGCCCTGGGCCTAAAATTAACACCCGGCACCTGCCAAATGCGGGTCGATTTTGGCATTGGCTCGTAAGATGTCAATTTCACCAGCCACGTTGGTGGGTGGTCAGGGCTCCACAGTGTGAGCATGTCACTCGCATTTGTGAATAAAAATAATTAAGTATGATCACATTTGTAGTAAGATAAATGCTGCAGTAGCTGTTTTCAAAGTATTTTTGCTGTTTTGTTTCATAGCTGGTAAATTAAATCACACAAAGTCAAAGAACTATGAATCCTAGTCCACCTCGCGCTGCAACACTGCCTGGCTGGGGGCTGTGCGCACGTGAAGAGCTGAGTGAAAGACTCCTTTTTAGAAGCGCTGCGCACAGGCATAAAAGTCGGTCTAATTTACTTGAAACTAAAGTCTACTGAAGTGAAGCTTTGTCCTTGTGTTTCTTGGCTATTTACATTGTTTTGCTCACAAGCTAGGTTGTTGTCTATGTTTGAGTTTCAACTGCTAGGGAGAGAAGGCAACACTACCACTCAGATTCACTCTCACAGGCATAAACATGACTAGTCGAGTTACCACGGTGACCTCCCGCCCTTAAAGGGCCATCTGTGATATTTTGGTTAAAAGACTCACGTCACAAAAAATGAAATTAAACAATACCCCATGTTAATTCTTACTAGTAATACATTCGTTTTAGAAATATTACAAAGCATGCTCATCTGTTTTTTGTTGGTGTAATTTCTGGCTGGTAAAAAATCTGAGTGGCTGGTATATTTTGTAATCTACCTGCCACAGTGGCTGGTGGACCAAAAAGTTTATTTTATGCCCTGATGGTTAAATACTTACTTACAAGCCCTTAAACAACAATGCAGTTAAGAAAAAAAACTGTTAAGTACAAAATTAAACATTAAAATAAATAATTAAAAGCACAGCAGTAAAATAACAGCAGCGAGGCTATATACAGGGAGTACCGGTACAGAGTCAATGTGCGGGGGCACAGGTTAGTCGAGGTAATATGTACATGTAGGTAGAGTTAAAGTGACTATGCATAGATAATAAACAGAGTAGCAGCAGCGTAAAAGAGGGGGGGGGGGGGGGGGGGGGGGGGGGGGGCAAACAATGCAAATAGTCCGGGTAGCCATTTGATTAGCTGTTCAGGAGTCTTATGGCTTGGGGGTAGAAGCTGTTAAGAAGCCTTTTGGACCTAGATTTGGCGCTCCAGTACCGCTTGCCATGCGGTAGCAGAGAGAACAGTCTATGACTAGGGTCTGACAATTTTTTGGGCCTTCCTCTGACACCGCCTGGTATAGAGGTCCTGGATGGCAGGAAGCTTGGCCCCAGTGATATACTGGGCCGTACGCACTACCCTCTGTAGTGCCTTGCGGTCGGAGGCCGAGCAGTTACCACACCAGGCGGTGATGCAACCAGTCAGGATGCTCTCGATGGTGCAGCTGTAGAACTTTTTGAGGATCTGAGGACCCATGCCAAATCTTTTCAGTTTCCTGAGGGGGAATAGGCTTTGTCGTGCCCTCTTCACGACTGTCTTTGTGTGTTTGGACCATGATAGTTTTTTGGTGATGTGGACACCAAGGAACTTGAAGCTCTCAACCTGCTCCACTACAGCCCCGTCAATGAGAATGGGGGCGTGCTCTGTCCTCTTCTTTTTCCTGTAGTCCACAATTATCTCCTTTGTCATATCTGATAACAACCTCTCCCGCAACGTGCTCAAGACAATCTAACAACTAACATTGTCTAACGACAGCTTCCGGGTAATTCCATGATAATGTAATTACGCTAAGACTCAGATTTTTCACTTTAAAATGTATACTAAACAAAACCGATTGATTTTAAAGTTTAACAAACCATAGAACTCCATGCACAAGGACTACTTCCCCAAAAAAATATTTTTCCAAAAACACATTTACCAGGAAGAACTGTGCAGATACACATTTTGGTAACAGAATAAAACTGAGGGAGATTTTACCTTAATTCTATATCTGCAAAGCTTTTCCAGTAAGTTTAAAAAAATGTATTTAAGGTGTAAATTGTTCAAAGTAGTCATTGTGCATAGAGGCGTATGGTTTGTTAAACTGGTTTTTGTTTGGCATACATTTTAAAGATCCCAGATATTTTCCAAATGCCAAAAAACCTTATTTCTCTCAAATGTTCTGCACAATTGTGTTTACATCCCTGTTAGTGAGTATTTCTCATTTGCCAAGACAATCCATCCACCTGACAGGTGTGGCATATCAAGAAGTTGATTAAATAGCATGATTATTACACAGGTGCACCTTGTGCTGGGGACAATAAAAAGCCACTCAAATGTGCAGTTGTGTCACAACAATGCCACAGATGTCAAGTTGAGGGAGCGTGTAATTGGCATGCTGACTGCAGGAATGTCCACCAGAGCTTTTGCCAGAGAATTGAATGTTCATTTCTCTACCATAAGCCAACTCCAACGTTGTTTTAGAGAATTTGGCAGTACATCCAACCAGCCTCACAACTGCAGACCACGTGTAACCACGCCAGCCAAGGACCTCCACATCAGGCTTCTACACCTGCAGGATTGTCTGAGACCAGCCACCTGACAGCTGATGAAACTGTGGGTTTGCACAACCTAAGAATTTCTGCACAAACTGTCAGAAACCGTCTCAGGGAAGCTCATCTGAGTGCTTGTCGTCCTCACCAGGGTCTTGACCTGACTGCAGTTTGGCTGCGTAACCGACTTCAGGGGACAAATGCTCACCTTCAATGGCCACTAGCACGCTGGAAAAGTGTGCCCTTCACAGATGAATCCCAGTTTCAACTGTATTGGTCAGATGGAGACCGTGTATGGCGTTGTGTGGGCGAGCGGTTTGATGAAGTCAACGTTGTAAACACAGTGCCCCATGGTGGCGGTGGGGTTATGGTATGGGCAGGCATAAGCTACGGACAACCAACACAATTGCATTTGATTAGGGGTGTAACGATCCATCTACTACATCGATGTATCGATTTATATTCCTATGATCCAACTACATCGATCTGTGCTCGGCGAGTTGGCCTTTTGGACAACATATATCAATCTAACATCGTTTTAAAATGTAATAAATCGATTGTATCGATACTAGGAAATAACCCATTGGATTTAAGCACGTCAGACTTTATATGGATGTTTTTTCTTAGCACTTTTAATGATAAAGGCTTTAAACATTACTCGATTCAGTCTGCCTATCCGTGACGTCATCGCCCCGCGCCAGCAGCAGCGCAAAGGCGCAAAGACAACAAAACATAGCATGGCGAGAAATTATCAAGCCACCATTGCGGTCCTTACAAGAAACAGGAATCTAGGAAACTTCACCTGCACTGTCCAGTATCCAGGTATTTATTTCAGTCACACTGGTTGAATTTTTGGCTAAAAGGTTACTGAATCGATTTCAAGTCACTGAATCGTTTCGGATCGTATCGTTCTAAATGAACCAATATCGTCCTTGAATCGTGATACAAATCGAATCGTTGTTAAAACTAATCGTTACACCCCTACATTTTATCAATGGCAATTTGAATGCACAGAGATACTGTGACAAGATCCTGAGGCCCATTGTCGTGCCATTCATCTACCTCATCTTTCAGCTTGATAATGCCAGGCCCCATGTCGCAAGCGTCAGCTGAAAATGGCCCAGTTCTTCCATGGTCTGCATACTCACCAGTCATGTCACCCATGTGTGGGATGCTCTGGATCGACGTGTTCCAGTTCCCGACAATATCCAGCAACTTCGCACAGCCATTGAAGAGGAGTGGGACAACATTCTACAGGCCACAATCAACAGCCTGAGCAATTCTATACGAAGGCGATGTGTCGAGCTGCATGAGGCAAATGGTGGTCACACCAGATCTACACCCCTACCTATTTTTAAGGTATATCTGCATTCCCAGTTATGTGAAATCCATAGATTAGGGCCTCATTTATTTATTTCAATTGACTGATTTCCTTATATGAACTGTAACTCAGTAAAATTGTTGCATGTTGCGTTTATGTTTTTGTTCAGTGTAGTTTCAAGGTATGGGTGGTAATAATTTCTAAACGTAAAGATTTGTACAGCCCCCAGGTGGTGAGGGTAGGCAACAACACATCCACCCCGCTGACCCTCAACACAGGGGCCCCTCAGGGGTGCGTGCTTAGTCCCCTCCTGTACTCCCTGTTCACCCACAACTGTGTGGCCGCGCACGACTCCAACACCATCATTAAGTTTGCTGATGACACAACGGTGGTAGGTCTGATCACTGATGACGATAAGACAGCCTATAGGGAGGAGGTCAGTGACCTGGAAGTAATATAATATATGTGGGGCCATGACAACAACCTCTCCCTTAATGTCAGCAAGACAATGGAGCTGATCGTGTACTACAGGAAACGGAGGGCCAAGCACGCCCCCATCCACATCGACGGGGCTGTAGTGGAGTGGGTCTAGAGCTTCACGTTCCTCAGCGTCCACCTCTCTAAGGAATTAACATTCCATCTAAAAAAGCTCAAGAAAGAGGATTTACACCCACCATCATAGAATTTTCTGAAATCGTTTCTGTAGTTAGAAACAGATAAGATTGGCATTCCCAAAACGTTATTTTGTTGAAATAAAATGTTATCTGAGAAATTAAGCTAATTGACAGCACTCAAATTGGCCATTTTAATTTATAGGATTCATATAATCTTCAATAAATATAGTACCCAACATCCGATTTGGACCATAATTCTTCCTAACAACGAGTAAGACATGAGGAATCAAATACAATTATCAAAAGCCACCCACAGACCCCAACAACCAGTTCTCTATGTCTGACAAGTAGTATGGAGCTGCTGCTTGGAGTATTGCTTCTCCATAATATGTAATGTCTTCTCTGTGAATCTGGTGATAGTTTTTTCCCCATTCTGATAAATTAGCCATTTCAATCACTTGCATTATTTACCATAAATGGATCACAACATTTTCTTTGAAACTTTGGGTAGAAAACCAATAGCTTTTGCCCAACTGGACACTGAACAGCTTCTAACCCCAATCCATAACACTTCTAAATAGTTAACCAAATAGCTACCCGGACTATCTGCATTGACCCACTTTTGCACTAACTCTTCTGACTCATCACATACGCTGCTGTTACTGCCTATCACCTACTATGTTGCTTAGTCAATGTGTACCCCTACCTATATGTACGTATCTACTTCAATTACCTCGTCCCCTTCCACATTGACTCCGTACGTGTACCGTGTGTATATAGCCACATTAGCGTTACTCATTGTGTATTTATGAGTAACGTTCTGCATTGTTGGGAAGGGTCCGTAGGTAAACATTTCACTGTTAGTATACAGTTATTGTTTACGAAGCTTGCGACAAATACAATTTTATTTTGATTTCAGCCCTGCCCCTTCAAGGCACTGTAGCGCAACCAAAACAACATGATGAACACCGTTTTCATTAGGGACAAGTGTAGCACGCTAGCTTGCTAACGTTACCTAGCTATACTAGTAAGGCGAGATTTGTTTTTCAGACTTAAAACATTGTCTGCAGAAAATATGTTTTAGCTTCCTGAATTTGCCACAAATTGCTAGTTACTAAACGCAATGACTGCTGGCCCACTAACGGGAGCTAGCTAGCTGGTTAGCTAACGTTAGCTCTTTTTTAGCTAGCCAGCCATTCAGCTAATGGTAGCTAGTTAACTAGCAATGGGGGCCTCCATGTGTGGTTGGAAATAATGCACACGAAAGATTGTGTATAAATACAATACATGCAATCATTCATTTAGTTGATTTTAGGCACGTATTGTGATACCTGTTTTTGTAGACCTCCAACACACACTTGAATTGTTTCTCCAGACTGTTCGGCTGAGCGATGGCAGCCGAAATGAACCCGTCACCGTCACACCTCCTTTCAGACCGGAATCTCACTCTGAGTTCTTCTTCTATGGTAGTCTTCTTCTATGAGGTTTAACGGCGGTTGGCATCCAATATGTTGCATTACCGCCACCTACTAGACTAGAGTACAACTGCCTTATATTTTGCTTGAAAAATAAAATAAAGAGAACCCTACCATCTAACACTACACTCACAAATTCAAAAAACAAAAATAATAATAATATGAACACCACCCTACTCCACTATTTAAATCTATTTATTCCTACCTCATGCCCTCAACCTGAAAGGATGGGACATCACCACTTAACACACCCTGTAACTATTCTGATGTCAAGTCTCGCACACCCAAATACCTCTCTGCAGGTGCTACCACAACCTCAATTGTCTTCGACTTACGTTCCATCCCTGCAGTACAATTAAAAACCATTGCTATAAATGCTAAAAATCGAATCTTACTGAAACATATACAGTGGGGAAAAAAAGTATTTAGTCAGCCACCAATTGTGCAAGTTCTCCCACTTAAAAAGATGAGAGAGGCCTGTAATTTTCATCATAGGTACACGTCAACTATGACAGACAAAATGAGAAAAACAATTCCAGAAAATCACATTGTAGGATTTTTCATGAATTTATTTCCAAATTATGGTGGAAAATAAGTATTTGGTCAATAACAAAAGTTTCTCAATACTTTGTTATATACCATTTGTTGGCAATGACACAGGTCAAACGTTTTCTGTAAGTCTTCACAAGGTTTTCACACACTGTTGCTGGTATTTTGGCCCATTCCTCCATGCAGATCTCCTCTAGAGCAGTGATGTTTTGGGGCTGTCGCTGGGCAACACGGACTTTCAACTCCCTCCAAAGATTTTCTATGGGGTTGAGATCTGGAGACTGGCTAGGCCACTCCAGGACCTTGAAATGCTTCTTACGAATCCACTCCTTCGTTGCCCGGGCGGTGTGTTTGGGATCATTGTCATGCTGAAAGACCCAGTCACGTTTCATCTTCAATGCCCTTGCTGATGGAAGGAGGTTTTCACTCAAAATCTCACGATACATGGCCCCATTCATTCTTTCCTTTACACGGATCAGTCGTCCTGGTCCCTTTGCAGAAAACAGCCCCAAAGCATGATGTTTCCACCCCCATGCTTCACAGTAGGTATGGTGTTCTTTGGATGCAACTCAGCATTCTTTGTCCTCCAAACACGACGAGTTGAGTTTTTACCAAAAAGTTATATTTTGGTTTCATCTGACCATATAACATTCTCCCAATCCTCTTCTGGATCATCCAAATGCACTCTAGCAAACTTCAGACGGGCCTGGACATGTACTGGCTTAAGCAGGGGGACACGTCTGGCACTGCAGGATTTCAGTCCCTGGCGGTGTAGTGTGTTACTGATGGTAGGCTTTGTTACTTTGGTCCCAGCTCTCTGCAGGTCATTCACTAGGTCCCCCCGTGTGGTTCTGGGATTTTTGCTCACCGTTCTTGTGATCATTTTGACCCCACGGGGTGAGATCTTGCGTGGAGCCCCACATCGAGGGAGATTATCAGTGGTCTTGTATGTCTTCCATTTCCTACTAATTGCTCCCACAGTTGTTTTCTTCAAACCAAGCTGCTTACCTATTGCAGATTCAGTCTTCCCAGCCTGGTGCAGGTCTACAATTTTGTTTCTGGTGTCCTTTGACAGCTCTTTGGTCTTGGCCATAGTGGAGTTTGGAGTGTGACTGTTTGAGGTTGTGGACAGGTGTCTTTTATACTGATAACAAGTTCAAACAGGTGCCATTAATACAGGTAACGAGTGGAGGACAGAGGAGCCTCTTAAAGAAGAAGTTACAGGTCTGTGAGAGCCAGAAATCTTGCTTGTTTGTAGGTGACCAAATACTTATTTTCACCATAATTTGCAAATAAATTCATAAAAAATCCTACAATGTGATTTTCTGGAATTTCTTTTCTCAATTTGTCTGTCATAGTTGACGTGTACCTATGATGAAAATTACAGGCCTCTCTCATCTTTTTAAGTGGGAGAACTTGCACAATTGGTGGCTGACTAAATACTTTTTTTCCCCACTGTATGACTTGTTGGCCTATCCCTCTGTACTGGTACATATCTACTACTCTCACCACTCCTCCCCCTTGACACATCTTCCTCTACTTTCTTCACTGCCTCAGTATATGACAACTTCTTCACTACTCTTACCCTGGAAACCTCAACCTGCCTCTCTCGCACAGGACATTTCTGATCCCCAGCCCCTACAATTAGCACATACCACTACTTTCCCCAATGCTACACATTCCTTTGTCTCATGCCCTTCTGCACACTTCTCACACCTTGGAACCTCCCTCCTACACACTGCTGCCACATGCCCATAAGTTTGACACCTGTAACATTGTAATGTATTCGACACATAAGCTCGTACAGGATAACTTGTATGTCCTAACTTCACTTTGTCGGGCAAAGACTCAATTTCAAAACTCAAAAGAACACACAATGACTCTTCTGTTTCCCCACTCTCACCACCCTGTTTGCGTCGCACCAAACAACGAGCATCACAAACACCGGGAATCTTCGTCAACTTTTACATTTACTGCTACCCAGTAATCACTCCTTTCAATGGCGCCCTTTTCTTGAGAGCAAAACAATTCACATTTCTTGCCCCCATTTCTTTAACTCCGAGCACCTTCTCCCTCTGACCAACAGAAACAAAAAGAATTATCACTAGACCACTTCTGGTTACCCTCACCGATTCCACTATACCCAATTATTTTTTCACCCACCCTGAAACCACAAATGGATCAGCCAAAAGGCAAGGGTCCACTTTTTCCAAAAACGTCACTCCTACTGTCACAGACTCATCTTTATCCTGACCCTCATCTTTACACCTACCACCTCTGATACTTCACCCTCATTCACTTCCATTTCTCCTCCTGTCTTCAGCTCACTCTGCTTACATTTTCTACCATTCTTCTTTAACAACACTTCTCCCTTTTTTCCGCCATTTTTAACCAACTCAAGCTCACAATCTTCCTCCCTCTCTCTCTTAGACCTCCTCTGCCTCTCTTTTCCCCTCCATTCCTCCTCCGTAATCCAAGTGTACGTCTCCTTATGATAATACTGCACTTCTCCTAACATACATCTTGTTCTTGCTTTCTCAAGGGACGCCATTTACGAGGCTCTCCAACCAAATCTTTGTCTAACATTACTTCCAACGTACTCCTGGTTTGCACCAGTCTTCTATGGTATTTTGGCAATCACACAATTTTATGTGAATCCCGCCACCTACTGTTCGGGATGAAAACAGGATTCCCCAAAAACTGAATAAACTACCAAAAAACGACCACAAAATAAATCAATAAAACTTGTGCCGTACAGTTTATAACTGTGGCAATGAACGCAACAAAATCCACCTTTTTAACACACAGGGTATCTTTTGTCTGTAAGCAAACATTTACACTACAGGCTGTGGTGCATCAACTACCATATCTTCACTAGCATCACTTGTTTTCTTAATTATTTTAATCGCCTCTGAATAGGAGATTCGATTGCCCACTCTAACTTTTGCCACCTCAATCTCCTTCATCCTTACAGGGCACTCCAGGAACTGAGGATCATGATCCCCACCACAATTGCAACACCGTGGTCCTTCTACACACCGTTCTTCAGTATACTCTGTCCGTCTGTTGAAACATGGCCAAATCCTTTACAATTCTTACACTGCAGTGGTTTGGGAACAAAAGCTCTTACAGCGTATCTTACATAACCAAGCTTCACATGCGTAGGTATTTGCTCTTTATCAAAAAACAACAGGATGACAGGCTTTCTTCTTTAACTCCATTCACCCAGCGGGTCAGACGCCGGGCACCAACCACACCAGGAATTATTTTCAGGTATTCAACTTGAACATCCGTCGTCACTCCTGAGATGACTCCTTTGACTCTGAAGTTCAAAACACCTTCTGTTGTCCGGATTATTTTGAGGCCCACTGCAATCTTCCTCTGTTCTTCAGAAATACAATAAATCAAAATAAGACCACTCCTGGTCACTCTGACAGACTCCACTTTTCCAAGTGCATACTTCACCATTTTCGACACCTCAAACGGGTATCCCACATATGCATCCTGTCTTGGAAATTCTAATCAATAATGAGGAGAGACTAGGTCAATCCCCAATCAGGATATTACTTTATTCAAAATGTATTAATAAGGCAGCAGGTCACGCCACCCACACCCGTGAATATAGTGAGTGCTCTGCAATAATGAGGCTGGTCGACCCAACACTCTTGAGTGTTGGGCCGAGAGCTCTGACATACAAAGATTACAAAGATATTTTACAGCACGATACACCCTCTTAGTCTACATGACAAACAGCAGATGTGTAGAATGGGTCAAAAGGTTAGGATTTGTATGACAGAAATGAATAATTCCCAGCAGACAGTATCTGCTGTGAAGACTGTTCTCATTGTATGGAAACTAGGGTTTGGCCCCCCAAGACAAGGTTCTTATCAACTATTCATAACAGATCTCGTCCCTGGTACCTTACACATACAGACACCAATTCAGTCTATGAAAAAGCAGGCTCAGTCAGACTGGAGACATCTCCCTCTTACACACCATTAATCATGAAATGGAATGTGGTTGTTGGTTTTATCACCTAGCCATTCATAAATCAATTGTCAGCTCCAGATACCCCTATCTCGCCTAGACTAGCTGCTGGGAGCTGGAGGAGAAACCATCCCTTTACAAAAACAAAGCATTAGTAGAACGGTATATAATTGTTAACTAACTATTAATATTAAACAAAGCAGGTAAACATGTTACATCCTTACTCAACAAACGCATCCCAACAAGAAGCGATTCATTATCATTCATACACGTATCCTCCACTCCAATTTTAGACAATTTCCTTTTTTGTTCCAGCTTTTGATACTACTGTTGTCCATTCAGAACATTCGTCTTCACCAACTTTGCTCGACGTGCTACTTGATTCGAACTCAGCATCCACTTCTGCCATCTTCTCAGTCGGAGTCACCTCCCGC